CACAGATGCTGCCAGACCTGCTGAACTTTTCCAGCAACTTTGTTTTTGATCAATGTGAGACTCATCAGTCTCTATATTCCTGGATTTAATGGTGACAGATTTCCTTCATGAAAGAATATTAATGAACCAGATGGGTTTTTATAACAAAAATGGTGTTTTCATGACACCATTAACCAAACTAGTTATTATTAGCATTCTAGGTTTATTAATTGAATTTATATTCCACCAGTCACCATAATGGAATTTAAACACAAGTCTTCATAACATTAGTCTAAGGCCTTTGGCTTTCTAGTCCAGTGACATTACCATTATACCAACATCACCCACAATAAAAATTGGTACTTAGTTTTTCAATTGATCCTATTCCACAGCCTTTTGAGAGACAGAATCCTATATTTCCACTGCCTCTTGTGGAATATTATCCTCTAATTTCATTCCTAAACAATCTAGCTCTAATTTAAAAACTGATCTGTATTTTCCCCAATAAAGGAAACAAATTTCTGCTGTATCAAATCTTTTTATTTAAGCACCTCAGTTAGATTACTCCATATTCTTTAAACTAGTTTATTCAACTAGTCCACTTAATTTATTCCTTTAAGTCTCCTCCCACCCCAAGGTTAATGTGCAGTGTGGTACCTAACACACTCAGTGCAATACAACAGATGGAAATGGATTTAAACTCAGCAAAACTAAAACATCACCATCCTCCCCCTTAAACCATAATCCTCAAAGCAAATGTGATCATTCCATTATCCTTCTTGGCTAATTTTTTGCATTTGTGCACTGGTTTTTCATAAGTTACATAGCTGTAAATTCAAATCATTTTCCTCCTCCACAGCTTTTAGTATTTTGTAATTAAGAAAGTTTTCAATTTGCCTTTCTTGGATCCAAAGTGGATCAACTCACACTTTCCCATATTAAACACCATCTGCCATGGTTTTGCCTATTTAATTAATCTGTCTACTCCCATTTATAAGTGCCTGATCTCATCTACACAATTTATAACTCCTCCTAAGTATCATTTGTAAATTTGGATACAAATTATTCTATTGTTTCATACAAGTTATTAAAAAAAAAATCACAAGACGTAAGAGAAGTAGGCCATTCAGCCTACTGAGTCTGCTCCACCATTCAACGAGATCATGGCTGATCTGATAATTCTTGACTTCACTTTCCTGTCTTTTACTCATAACCCTTGGCTCCCTTACTAATTAAAAATCTGTCTATCTCATCCTTGAATATACTTGACAACCAAACCTAGTTAACCTTCTGTGGTAAAGAATTCCACAGATTCACTATCCTCAAAGAGAAAGAAAGGCCATCCTCATCCATGACTTAAAGGGGTGACTGCTTTCTTTGAGATTATGTCTTTGGTCCTAGACTTGCCCATGAGGGAAAGCAATCTTTCCTTATCAATGTCAAGCCCCTTAAAAACCTTGTATGTTTCAATAATGTCTCTTCTCATATGATAATCAAATATCTCTCATAAGGTAATCAAGACCTGATGCCCAGAACTGAACTTCCAAGCAAGTGTCACTCAACATGAAACATTAAGTCTGATTTCTCACCACAGATGCTGCGAGATCTGCTGAGCTTTGCCAGCAAATTCTGTTTTTGTCTCTGATTTACAGCATCCATAGTTCTCTCTGTTTTGATTTGGCCCAGAGCAGATCCCCGGGAAACTACAGGCAATTTTTAACCTCCAAAACACAACGGATTTGAGAGGTAACTTAAAATCAGAGTCCCAATTACAATCTGTCTACTTTCAGTTTTAATGGGGACAGGTAATCAGTCTGCTCCCAGGAGGGAGAGTGACAATTTAAATGTTATTAGAAGCCAGTCAATCTCACCTTGATATGAGGCCAACCAAATTCCTGCAGCTCAAACGAAAACACCAGCAAAACAAGATGAGAACTGTTGGATTCGGAACTCAAAGCCTTGGGGATTCTGCTAGGTCCAGAATTTTAAGCTTTGGGAAATCTGCTAAACCCAAATATCTCTATGTCACTAAACGCCCAATTCTTCTGATCTTACACCAAACTCTCCATGCAGGGCTCTAACATCCACCCGGTCATCTACAATCCCCCATGCACCTCCTAGCTCTGACTTTCCACACCCCACCAACTGCAACCCCTCATGTCCCCCCTGAGCTCCACTGTCCTGCCATGCACGCATGTGCACACACACACACACATCTACCTAACCACCTCTTGGCCTTTTATCTCCAAGCACCCCTCATCTGTACCCTCCAGACTCCAATTCCCCACTTCCTTCTGTCCTCTTCCCAGCTGTAGTCTGGTGCTAAAGTCGCACATCCCAACAGTCTGGGGGAGGCATGAAAAAAGTTCATCAGGTCCGGCCATTCTGCCGAGTTCCCATGCGCAGCTCACCTTCTCCAACCTACCTCTAAGCAAAATGAAGCCCCAACTATCAGATTCTGTCATGAAGACTGTAGGGGAGGCACTGATGTACTAGAAATGGCACTGGACTACTAATCCAGAACAGACACGGGGTTAAAATGATACCATGGCAGATGGCGAAATGTGAAATCAATACAAAACTGTACAAAAATTCTAGCCTAATGATGACCATCCACCACCGTCAATTGTCATAAAAATCTATCTAGTTCACTAATCTCTTTTAGGGAAGGCAAACTCTCATCCTTACCTGGTCTGGTCTACATGGGGCTCCAGAGCCACAGCAATGTAATTGACTTGTAACAGCTTAACAGTCAAACAGGGCAGTGATGCCCACTTCCCATGAACAAATTTTTAAAAACTCTCTATCCTCAACCAATTATCAAACCATGTGTTAAAGTTACTTCCATAACCAATGCGGTCCCTTGGTGCTAATATTCTGCTGTACTGTATCTTAAAATGACCTGAATTCCACGCAAAAAACATTTATGGGTGTTCCCTTGTACATCATTTTTGCAAATGTTTCAAAAATAAATCTAGATTTGTTAGACATAACCTAAATGTCACAAATAATATGAACTCTTTGACCAGCTTATTTTTTTTAGATATAAAGCCCTGATGATAGATTCCAATATCCTTCCATAAAACTGATGTAGGTTTCCAGCCTCACAGATGCCAGTCTTCAGAAAATTCAATTCACTCCACGTGATATCAAGGATCATCCGAAAGCACACAATACTGCAAAGATTATATGTCCTTACAACATTCCGGCAATAATGTCGAAGATGTGAGCCAGAATCCGTTGGATCCATAGCCAGGCTCTTCTACTTGCATCCATCTGAAGTTGTGGAGCATTGTCCAAGTATGTCCAGTATACAAAAAGTAGAACAAACTCAACCTGGCTAACGTTTACCCCATTGGTCTACTCTCGATCAGTTAAGTGATAGAAGGGACAACAAGGTTATCCGTAATCAGTTCAGCAATGCTCGTGGCCTCCTTCAAACGTGAACAAAAGAGCTGAATTTCAGAAGTGAGGTGACGGTAACTACCCTCGACATCAAGGCTGCCTTTGCCTGACGTGGTCCGAAGGAGCACGGGCAAAACTAAAATAAATTGGAATTGAAGGAGACATATCTGGCACAAAAGAAAAAGATGGTTGGTGGCCATTCAGTTCAGCACCACAATATTTCTGTAGTAGTACCTCAGGGTAATGTCCTAGACCCAATCATCTCCAGCTATTTCATCAATGACCTGCTTTCCATCGTAAGGGCAGAAATGAAGATAGTAACCGAGGATCGCACAAATGTTCAGCACCATTTTCAGCTCCCCAGATTCTGCAGCAGTCTTTGTTGAAATTGAACCTGATCTGGGTTTGGGCTGAAAAATGGCAAGGACCATTTGCACCAGGTAAGTGCCAGCTCCAACAAAGAATGAAACCATCACATGGTATTCACCTGCATTAACCCCCACTATCAATATCCTGGGGTTAGTATTGACCGGAAAATGAACTATATTGGCCGTATAGATGTTGTAGCTACACAAGCACGTAGAGGAATCCTGCAACAGGAACTCACCTCCTCCTTCCTCAAACCCTGTCCAGCATCTTCCATGCATGTGTCAGGAGTCTGATGGAATACTCTCCACTTTTCTGGATGAGTGCAGCTCCAACAACACTCAAGAAGCTCGACATCACTGAGAACAAAGCAGCCTGGTTGTTTGGCATCACAGCCGTAATCACTCCCTTCACCACTGACACTTTCTAGCGATGTGTACCATCTCTAAGATGCTCCTCAGAAATTCACAGATCATTAGACAGCATTTTCCAAACCCATGACCACTTCCATGTAGAAGGACAAGGACAACAGATACATGGGAACACCACCACCTGCAAGTTCCCCTCCAAGCCACTTCTCACCCTGACTTATCAATGTATTGTACTGTTCTTGTACTGTGGCTGGGTCAAAATTCTCGAACACTTCCTCATAATATTGTGGCTCTATCTACAACACGTAGATTGCAATGGTTCAAGAAGGCAGCTCACCACCACCTTGTTAAAAGCGACTAGGGATGGGCAATTATTACTGGCCCAGCCAGCGACGCCCATACCCTGAATGAATAAAAACCAAGTCTGCAGTTTCATGGTTTCTCTCTCGCTCCTGTCAAAGTACTACATTCGCTGCAGATACATTTTCCAACAGTTGGAAACTTCATTTTGTACAAAACCCTTACAGCTAATCTGTATTTAAAAGACTGAACGATCACATTTAAGCTATTTGATTACATTCCACGTAGACATTCGCACACGTATTTTCCTTATTTGCATTCAAAATACATCAGCCAGTTCCAGTAAAAAAAGACTCAGTGACAGCTTCACTAATTTACGTTTTGGATGAGAATGACGTAAATATCAAAATTTTAAATAAGCAAAGTGAAAGGTGAGTTAAAAAGGGACGTAAAGTTGTTATCCTGATAAACTCGTTAACCAACTTCTTTCTCAAACTAAGTAACCATGTCTTAACTGCTATTACTTTCAACTGTATCAACAGCAAACTTGAACAGGGAGTGAAAATAATGTTTTCTTACAGTGCACCCGCTTACAGGATCTCTCATTTTGCTTTCCTTCTGGGTTCACACGCACCAGGAAAATGAGTAGTGCTTACGAGTTTGCACTTGTACTTTGAGCAGTCAGTCATCTGATAGTGAGACAGCCGGCAAACGCATATCTCTTGGGTCCTAAAGCCCATGCGCCTAATTGAGAAATCACTGCAAAAAACAAAATAAGCATCATCTCTTTAAATTTTCTTTTACAGGAGTTGTGCAAAAAGTTGCCTAAAGTCATGTTTATTTCAGCATTTTGCACATCAGAAATTGCCACGGTAAGAAGTAACTTTGTTCCAACTGTTACGTTAATTTACTGGAATGAAAGTCAGCACAAAGGCGGATCAGGAGTTTATCCATTTTATTTAACAGTGGCTGACGGTATTGGTATCCACTCATCAGACAAGTTGCTGCAAATTATAATACAATCAGCCATTGCTTTATATATGTTGATCACAAATTACTTAAAAGAAGATTCCCAAACTACTGTGAAGATCTGGGCTCAAGCCAGTTATTTGAAATGTTAATAAGGGAGCGACCTCGAACAATTAAAATATCAAATAATGAAAAGTAAAGTTCACATGGCAATGTATTCTCTGTTGGTTTAAATTACTCATAGGAATGCAATGGTTTATAAATGGGTGTACACTGCTATTAACTGAAGTACAAGAACAGGCTTGGATATGAATGTAAATATACAGTGTCCTGAAATGCTGAAGATTAATGTCATGACTGTTGTTGAGAAAAATGTAGCTCATGTCCAATCTACAATTATGACTGATAAACAAAGTAGCCCACAAATCTAAATAGATGTGACTGCTATTCTGAAGAAAGTATTGCTGGTAGTTCCTGTAAGGAACAACACTGAGTAATCCCACCCATCTTAATTTCCTTTACTGCTGCGTGTAATCTTCCCAAACTTAAAAATCATCTGAAAGGGTAAAATGTTATGGAAATTGGAATGTAAAGGGAGAGTTGTAATTTGGAATTTACCCTACTGTGGGAGCAGAATTTATTGGTGTAAATTGTTGCTGGCAGTTATCATATTGTCTTTCCGTGGGAACTTGCCCTTATGCTTAATACACTATTCTTGAATTAAATGTAATTGATTGTTTATAGTACATAGTACAAATGAGCAAACATCTGTCTCTCTTAGAAGGTCAGAGAAATTGCCACCCTTAGTTGAGAAGTCCAAGACCAAATTCTTAATGTCCAGTCTTTAAAACAAACAGGAAACAAGCTAAGAAGCAGGAAAATGGATTTGATACAGGAATGGAAATGATTATTTTTTGCTAGGCCAGAAAAGTTAAGAAGTGTACAGCTCCTGTTCACAATCCAATACAGGAAAAGGATATTCGTGAGGAGAGCAATTCTGGATGTGGCAGTCCAGGAGAACAATGCAGTCTGAAGATAGCAGGAAAAGGTTTATGCACAAATGGTTGTCATGTTCCAATGAAGGGAAAGATGATAGTAAATATTTGGTTAGTTTGTATTTTTTTTTGCGAAGGCTAGAAAAGACTTTCATCCATTGTAACTGCTAACAATAATTTTAAAAATATTCTTTCAATTTTTGAAATCATATTTTAAGAAAGCAGAGTTTTACAAAGCAGATCATACCAAACTGTAAAATCTACTAACAACTGAAGAATAATGGAGGATGTTTAATGAAATATTTAACACAAAAAAAAACATTTTCTACCCCTGAGAGTGAAAATCTCCATTTCACAGAAAAAAAAACAGTCAAGGACAACTGAAAAGATAAGAGACAGCATACAACAAAAGATAGGTCTGGCATAAATGCCACATAACAGCACAGATCCTGCTGAATGAAAGATACAAAGACCAGTGTTAGGAAGGGGAGGTCAAACCTCTCCGATAATTAATATCAAAACAAAAGCCCCCCAATCTGTTATGGCAGGCATAGTGGTCCCCTTCTAATGATTAAACCCAAAACAACCCAGAGAAGCTCACCTTCCCTTGCCTAATCTGTTAAAAAGGATTGGTTAAATGAAAGAAAATACCTGATATTCACTTTATTAGCAACAAATAACAGTTTATTTATTTAGCCTTAACAGTGAACAAATTAACAGAACTGCTAACAAATCAAACAATTCCCCCTTAACTACTAACTATTCCCGAATAGAACGGAATTTTAATGGTATGCTGTTCCAATAGTACAAGTCCCAATTATAAAAACCCAACTAATAATAAAAATAAATTAAAACTTAGACTCTCAGAGGTGCAGCCAGGTTGTCTTCTGAAATGTTCTTTGTTTTCTCCGCTGATCCTTCCATTAGGAATGCTTTCTCTGTGAATTCTTCTGTCAGGAATTTTAGTTAGAAGTGCCATGGTACCTTTGTGAATAAATGGTGCTTTCCGAGAGAGCTTGCAGATTTCTGTGACAGCCAGATATTTACTCTTCAGATGGCAATTTGCTCTCACACCAATTTTAAAATAATTGGTTGATCTTCAAGCTAGTTGTCAAAACATCAAAACAAGCCTAAGATTCCCAACCATACAGCCAATTGATACTTGTTTCAATTTCAGAACTGTCTGTCCCTCTTCAGCTGCTTACAGACACATTTTTGTTTAAATCTCTAAGTTTAGAAAAACAGGGACTTAAAAGGACTATGCAGTATTTCCCCCTATCATTTTTACAAACAAATTCTAACTTCCTGCTTTCCAGTTTACAAGTACTCTACAAAACTTTGCAACACCTCCTCTCTTAAGAAAAGAACCATCGTTATGAAAAAATGGCTGTATTTTTTTCAAAAAATCTTAACATCATTATCATGAAATAAAGGTCAGTAGTCTAAAGTTACACATTTCATATTAATTCTGCATACATAAAAAGGATTGGTTAAATGAAAGAAAATTCCTGATATTCACTTTATAAGCAACAAATAACAATCTATTTATCTAACTCTAACAGTGAACAAATTAACAGAACTACTAACAAATTGAACAATTCCCTCTTAACTACTAACAATTCCTGAAAAGAGCAAAATTCTAATGGCATGCTGTTCCAATAAATACAAGTCCCACTTGTAAATACCCAAGTCATAATAAAAATAAATTAGAACTTAACCTGGCTGCACCTCTGAGAGTCTAAGTCTTCCGGAATGTTCTTCTCCGCTGATTCTTCTGTCAGAAATGCTTTCTCTGTGAATAGATTGTGCTTTTTCAGACAGCTTATAGATTTATGTGAGAGCCAGATATTCACTCTTCAGATGGCAGTTTGCTCTCACATCGATTTGCAAAAGCCCTCCTCTTATACCCCTGATGACTCATCAGTTTTCTTATAATAGGATTGGTCTGAGGTTGTCAAAAACATCAGATTTAAATTAAAATGGTTTTCAATCTCTAAATGCTTGGCTTAAATTAATTGGCTGATCTTCAAGCCATTTGCCAAAACATCAAAACAAGCCTAAGGTTTCCAATCACACAGCTAATTGATGCATGTTTCAATTTCAGAACTTCAGTTGCCTTCAAACACATTTTTGATTAAATCTCCAAGCTTAGAAAAGCACATAAACTCTTAAAGTGACTCTTCCCTTTGTCATTTTTACAAACAAATTCTAGCTTCCTGCATTTCAATTCATAAGTACTCTACACAACTTTGCGACATGAGTAAAGGGATACAAACCAGGTAATAAGAGTTACTGAAAGGAATTATGAAAGGAAATGTACAAGGTGTATCAAAATCAATATGAAGAAATGTTGTAGTTACATAAAGGCGAAATGGATAGTCAGGAGAAATGTTGGCCCATTGAAGACTGAAAGTGGGAATATTGTCAATGACTATGGTGAAATGGCAGACATGATGAAAAATTACTTTGCCTCAGTATTTACAGTAGAAAAGGAAGATAGCTTGCTGGGAGTCCCAGGAAAGGGAGCAGGGACTGGATAAAAGTAAAACATTAGTAATAAGGAAATTAATGGAATTAGACAGTGACAAATTCTCAGGACCTGACGATTTCCATCCCAGGGTGTTAAAGGAAGTAGGGGTACACATTGTAGATTCCATAATTATAATAATTAAGAGTTCCCTGGATATTGGGGACGTCCCTCTGGATTAGAAAATTGCGCATATCAATCCACTGATTAAGAAGGGCAAAGGAGGAAAACTAGGGTTTTACAGACCAATTAGCCTAACGTCTGTGGTGGGGAAATTGTTGGAGTATATAATCATGGATGGGGTAATTGAACACCTTGAAAATTTTTAGTTAGTCAGGGTCAGCCAGCTGAAATCATGGTAAGTAGGTCATGTGTGACAAACTTTACTGACTTCAACAACAAAAATAAAGTTGCTGGAAAAGCTCAGCAGGTCTGGCAGCATATGTGAAAGAAAAGACAGAGTAAACATTTCGGGTCCGGTGCCCCTTCCTCAGAACCCTCACCGGACCCGAAACGTTAACTCTGTTCTTTCCTTCACAGATGCTGCCAGACCTGCCAAACTTTTCCAGCAACTTTGTTTTTGTTCCTGATTTACAGCATCCGCAGTTCTTTCGGTTTTTTATAAACTTTACTGACCTTTTTTGAAGAGGTGACTCAGGTAGTGGACTGGGGAATGTCTGTGCATGTTATTTACATGGATTTCCAAAAGGCAGTTGATAAAGTCCCATACAGGATACTGTTAACTATTGTATTATTTATTTTTCTTAAAAATAGCACATTAACGGTATTTAACTCTTGTATTTTCAATGTACTTTCCCGTCAGTATGAGTTTTATGCACTGCAAAATTACACACCATGGATTTGCTGGAAACATCACTGTCAGGATATGTTACTTATAACATAACTGTCTAATTTGAACATTGATTTGGATGTTGCCCAATAAAAATTGCATTATTTTTGTGGAACCGTTTATTTTTGTGGAACCCCCAATATTATTGTTCCTTACTTGCTCTCTGTTTCGCAACACAAGGACTGACTTTTTCCATTGAATTGAATGGAAATATGCGATTAACAGCTAAAGACTCATTTCCTGGAATCTTCAGAGTTTAAGTCCTTTATGATTACATCCCCAGCTTGTATTTCCTGTTGACAGATTGCATAGCATTCTTTAAAACATTCAGAAATAATTTTATATTTATTCTGAAAATGTTGTTTTCCTCCAATGAATTGAACTTTTAAGTTCAATCATGGTGAGCAAATTAACATTACATTTATCATTCTTTCCGTGACTGTAATTGACATATTTATGTGCACGTCCACATTGTTGAAAATAAGCTGAGAAAGCTCCCTTCTATTTACAAAATGAAACAACAGATTATGAATTATTTAGCAGAATGAAAGCATCCAAGTGCAAAGGAGTTTGTGTTGAACATAATTATAAACAACCTCCTTTGAAATTGATAGATAGAAAAACAAACAAACAAAAGAAAATCAATGGCATTTCCTCTGTGCTGGGTATTGAGATTTTAACTCCTTATTAGTATAAGTAGTTAATATGTTTGGAAATATGTTTGGATGAAGTGGTTTTGTCTATAATTTAATAGAAATAGCGTCACCCCCTTGAATGAGATGCTGGCCTGGAGGACAATAAATGCGTCTCACTGACACTAGTCATCTCTGCTGATCTTGAAGTTATTTCAGGTTGGTTCCTTGACCTCTACTGGGTCATTGTGCCAAATGGGGCAAGGTTTTGTCAAGGACAAAAACAGAGTTTTATTTGCTTCAGCCACTGCAAGACCATGCTCCGTGAGTGCTTCTACTGTAAACAAAAGTTTAATATGAATAGTACATTGTTCACCTGGCTCCAGCAGGTGTTCCTTGTACAAACAGTGTAAATACAATGTTGTGCTGCTGAATCCAAGGGCTGGAAGATGGAAGGTCAAGTTTTCAGCCAACAGGGGTGACCATTCACAGTTTTGTAGAGAATGGCATAGGCTGTGCAGAAAGAAACACAGGAAGATTTCTCTCCATCAATTCTAATGATTATCTCACAATTCTCCACTGCTCACCTCATTACATTTGCACCATGCCCCCACAGTGTTGCACTGTTATACACTCACCAGTGGTAGCGGTACTCACTGCTATCAGGATCTTATGTGACTTGCAATGCTAACACCATATTTGAAGCCTAATCATGCACAAATACTGCCAGCCAGAAATAGTCCTTCAAAGTGCATATTGTGGAAGGGAAATGAGAAATTATAAAGCTTCTAAGGGCACATTTGTGGCATGGGTGGCATTTCATTGCAAATAGAATGTTACATTTGTGAAAAGAACAGAAAATGCTGGAGAAACTCAGCAGGTAATGGCAGCATCTGAGGAAAGAGAAACAGAGTTAACGTTTTCAGTCCAATATGACTCATCTTCAGATCTGAAAAGGATCAGAATATTATATTTTTATGCTTTTGTCAGAGGCAGAAGAAGAGCAGCAGAAACAGTTGGCGCAGAGGTCCAGTGTAAAAGATCAAGAGGTTGCAAATTGGGGTGAAACAGCAATAGAGATGTAACATGATAGAGGTGTAAACTAAGGTGTGGAAGAGTGAAAATGGTTCATCTCAGCTGAGAACAACGTAAACATGACACAAACAAGACGAGTTCATGATTGGGCGGGAGGATTGGAGGGGGTGGTGGACAATGGAGAAGAACTTATGAAAAATGGAAGCCAGACAGATATCATTAGGCTCTGAAGTTGTAGAATTCAATATTGAGTCCCAGAGGTGGCAAAGTGCCTATGCAAAAAGCTTTTCTTTAAATTTGCATGAGCTTTGTTGGAACATTGCAGTACCTCAGGAGGGATATGTTAGCATGACAGTAAGGTGATTTATTGAAATGGCAAGCAACTGAAAGGTCGGGGTCATTCCTATGGACAGGATGGAGGTGTTTCTCAAAACAGTGACCCAGTCTGTGTTTGGTCTCCCCAGTGTAAAGGAGCCTGCATCGTGGGAAGCAAATACAGTAAACTAGATTTAAAGAAGTACAAATAAAATACTGCTTCGCCTGGAAGGCCTGTTTGGGACATTATACGGTGAGGAGGGAGATGAATGTGCACGTGTTACATCCTCTGTAATTGCATCGGAAGTATCATGGGGCAGTGACGACATGTTAGGAGGGATGAAAGACCAGGGTAGCACAGAGGGAATGGTCTCTGTGAAATGCTGATATGGTGGGAAGTGGAAGATGAGTTTGTTGTTCCAGGGAGAAGAGAAAGGGATTGCGGCAGTAGTGTGAGAGATGCATTTGACATGACTGAGGACCATGCCAACCATAGTGGGTGTAATCCTAGCCTGAGGAAAAAGAAAGTCATGTCGAAGGCATCTGGTGGAAGGTGGCATCATCGAAACAGACATGAAGGAGATGGAGAAACTGGGAAAATGGAATAGAATCCTTGCAGGAAGTGTTCTGTGAGGAAACGTTGTTGAGCTAACCTTTGGAGTTGGTGGGGTTGTAATGTTTATAGGTGGACAACCTCAACTCAGAAATGGAGAGAGAACTCAAGGAGGGAAGGGAAGGGTCCCAGAAGTTGGACCAGATGAAGGTGTAAGCAATTTGTAAATGTACTGCCATCTAAGTTGTGGTAATAACAATCACATCATTACTTGTAAATACTCTGGACATTTCAACTTATAGTTACTAAATGCGACATTTTTTGGGCTATAAATTAAGTGGCTGGAGTGAGAGAGAGAGAGAGAGAGAGGCATAAGGAATGTCACTGCTACAAATGCAAAGCGAACTTCAAAGAATAAGCCCTTGCTTTTGGAGGTAGAAGACATGTCAAAACAGACAAGACTGCGATCTTGTGACTGCAAAAATAATGAGCAGCTGAAAACCCCATGTTCAATAGCTAGCCACATCTTATGGATTATCTCCCAAACTGCAGATAGTTTCTGTTTCTTCCTTTCAAAAAGACAGCAGTTAATCAGCCAGTTTCAACTCTATGCAGTGTGCTGGGGGAACTGAACATTCTTGTAAGTATCCAAAAATGTGATTGAAGATCACAGTCAAAGAACCAGCTTCTAGTCGCCCCTATGTTGCAGATAAAGGCTTTCTCTCACTGGGTACAAAAGGAAACAGGACAAGAAAAGGACTGCTTCACACTGAATGCCTAGATTCATTTAAGGTCAAAAAGGATTGTAACTACAGAACTACAAAACTAAGGATTGTGAAACTGACTGCTCAACTACCAATGCTACTGCTGCAGATGGATCAAGATGGCGGCAGAGTAAGGCACGTCAGCTGGAGCTCGTCTGCTCGCCAGTTCCTTCTCCT